CCCCCCTCCTCAGGCTGCTTCTCCCCCCTCACGACTCCAGCCGCTCCCCGAGGCGGCGGGAGGGCCGGGGCCGGCGGGCACGGCCGATACCGGGACCAGCTGCAGGAAGTGACCGCAACGCGGCGGGGCGGGGACTGCGGCGGCGGCTGCGCGGCCGGGACGGGATGGAACGGAACGGAACGGGACGGAACAGGCCGCGACGGGCCGGGCTAGGCCGGGGGGTCCCGTCCCGTCCCGTCCCGTCCCGTCGCGGCCTAACCCGGCCCGGCCTAGCCCGGCGGGTGTCACAAAAGTCCAAAAAAACCCCCATTAAGGAGCGGGCGCGGAGGCCCGTTAATGAGTTTATGACCATAAAGAGGGCAGCGGCAGCTCTTGTGGGGCCCGTCCCGCCCCGACCCGCCGCACAAGCCCCTTATTCCCCCTCGACCCCCCCGTTTCCCAGTCAGGCCGCGATACCGGGGGTGCCGGCGGGGCCTCTAGGGGGCGCTATAGCGCCGGGGAGGGAGAGGCGGGAAGCGAGCGGCGCGCTGACGTCACGGCGTTCCGGTTCCGGCGGGCGGGCGGGCGCCATCCCCATCCGGGGTCAGGGCCCCCGCTCCCTTCCTGTTATTGCCCGGGAGGGAGGCGGCTCTGCGGGGGCGCCGCTTCCGCCAGCGCCCCGGGAAGGGGGTGGGGGGGACCGGGACGGTGACCCGCTGAGGGGTGCGGTGGTGATAGGCGGCTGCTGAAGGGGTCGCGAGTGCCTCGGGGCGCTGCCCGGCCCAGCCCGGCCCGGCGGGGCGGTGGCTGCGGGCCCGGCTCGGAGGCCGCGGCTGTGAGGTGAGTGAGGCGGGGGTCGGTCCGGCTCTCCCGAGCTCTGGCAGCGCTCTCTGGGGCGTACCGGTGCTCTGGCTGAGGGGTGGCGGAGGGGAACGCCGCTTGCTGTGGGCTGCGGGGTGTCTGGCTCGTCCCCGGTAGCCGGAGGGGGAGGCACCACCCTGGGGTGGCTGGAGGGGGCTCGGAGCGCGGCTGTTTCCCTCGGCTGAGGGAGCTCTGAGGGAGTTCCTCCGCCCAGCCTTGCTCTGAGGGTTTCTCCTCGCAGGGACGCGACCCTGGAGAGGAGAAACCGCGGTGGTTTGTCGCTTTTGGGGGTGGCTCGCCCCAGAAATGCGGCTGTTCTCTAGAAGGGTGTTTCAGCAGCTCCTGTGATAGGGTGTCTGTGGGCTCATGGTTGGGATAGTTGGTGAACGCGGGGAGCAGAGCCTCCTCCGGCTGGGTGTGTGCGTGGATGGGTGGCACACCGTCCCTTGTTCCTGGCCGCAGCTGACTTACAGTGGCAGCATCGCATCAACACTACAAGTAAAAACTCCTTTCTTTCTTCATACTATCCAGAGATCTGATTTTATTGATGGTGAATGTGAAGCTGCTGTTTTTTATTGGTATTTTCTAGTAGACTGAATGTTAACAAAACTCTCACCAGACTAATACAAACTATGTGTTTGTTTTTCTTCGGGACTTCTGTTGCTGTTTTCAGCATGCTTTAAGTTATTAAGGTATCAGACCTGTTACTTCTGCTGCTGTTACTGGTATGTCTCTGTAAGCTCTTTTCCTCTGTAACTCTCTTCTTGTTGACTTTTAAAACGTGATTGAACAGAGGATAGTTTATTAACAGTGCGTATTCAGAACAAGGAAAGTGTGTGTTTAAAAGCAGATAGTATGGGCTATAAAGCTTTGCTTGAGTTAATTCTGCAGTTAGGAGCATTCTGCAGCAAACTTGTCAAGGAGCAGGGAACTGGATTCTGAATCTGGATTTTGTAGTACTTAATAAAAGAAATCCTGGCTCTGTTCTGTTAGTTATTTGTGCCCTCACATCCCTGCTTTGAGCTCTAGCAGGCTTTCAATTTCATCACACTGGATAAAGTTAGAAACTTTCCCATCATGACCTGAATCATTCTCCTACCTCACAATTAATTTATAGAGATGTTCTCATACTTGTTGCTTCAGCTGCTTCCACGCTGCAATGCTCTAATGCTGTGGAATAATCAAAGTCCACCTCTTGTTGTGCATAAACATTGTTGGTTCCTAGGAATATTCCAGTACTCAGGATGATGGGATTTAATGACTTGTCTGCTGTTCTAGACTAGATGAGCTGTTCTGAAATAAAAGCCCCATGTGAACTTAAAGTTTCACAATAAATAACTTTATTCTCAAACAATAACATTGGCAAATTTTTCCAGAGTGGGTAGTTATTTGGAAGCATATTTTA